ACAAAATCTCGGTACGGATACAGGAGGCTCGATTGGCTTTTCCCGACTTGTGCCAATTATGACTTAAGCCAGATATCCGTCTGCTAACCAAAGAACGAGTGTACTGTGCAGCAGTTCACTTTGTCCTACGATACGGGTGTGAAACGTGGCCAGTAAGTGTAGGATATTCGTAGGTTACTGGTATTCAATCATAGTTGTCTTCGAAGCATTCCTCATATATCCTGGAACAATCGAGTAAGCAATGCTGTTGTTAGGAAGAGCGTACTAGGTAAGAATGGAAGATCAATAAACGAAGTATTGCAACTCCATCAGTTGAGGTGGTTGGGACATGTATTACCTATGCTCAACCACCGACTGCCTAGACGACTTATGCTTTGTGGTGTAGGAGTAAGTTGAAAAATAGTTACGTTCAGCCAAACCAAAACATGGCACAAATCCATGAAGTCACTGACAACTGGGTTGAGTCATGTTGGTGGATGTAGACTACGTGGTCGGGGTCGCGAGACAATAGAAATCGATTCTAAGAGATCTTATATGACATGGCTAAAAATCGTTTGCAATGGCGCAGGTGCATTCATTAGTTGGCTTCTCTGAAATCCTAATCCTCTGGATTCTTCATCACCTTTATCTTCCTCGTTTTAGGTTTATTTCGCTCGATTATACTTCTTGAATAATATCTTCGAACTTTAATCTCTCCGATTACTGCTAATACTTCTACTACATCTACTACTATGGGATTTGAATTGAGAATTATATCTCTGTGCTAATGTGGTATGGCAACTTGAACAGATGTACGTACGTACGAACGAAGTTCTAAGTTGCAGCCAAACACGAAATATATGAATGGAACCATCGAAATCCCGTTATGATTCAAGACCATTTAATCCGAAGCTACTTTTCAGAAACCAATAGTGGCAAGATGAAGTATTCCGAACGTTGTAAGCAGTAATGTAAGTTTGGTAGATGATTATTTAGCTCCGAATGTAAAATCTTGCTTCAGTGCCGGTTAGTATCAGCACCTTTGACCATGACCAAGCGAATATGAGGCCAATCTCTTCAGCCCTAGTGGATTGTTACTTAACGCCTAAATCACATGTAGCAGTAAGAATAACTCCGCTAACTCAATCACAAAAAGTCGACCGAGGACAAACTATGTAGAAGTTTTCAATAAAACCTGGGCGAGTACCCGAAACTATAGTGCAATATAAATCATACCGGCATTATCACAGGCTAGGCGAAACATTTAATCAACTTGGGAACTAGAAATCCGAAGAAAATATCACTGCTTAATAATCAGCTTCGAAACGAATTTAATTCTTCGAAGACTCGCATGATAGGAAGTATTACTTCGCACAATATCTGTCATTCAATCATGATGAACCTGTGCTTTTATAGTAGCTATATATGAAAGGTGAATTAAAGTATTTTCCAATTATCTTTAATACAGGATACTAATGATCTATCATCTTTGAGTTGAAGTATTAGTAATATTATTAGTTTGCAGCTGCAATATTCAATACACTACACATTCATGGGTTGATAGTTAGACTACTTGGTTTTCGACCGTTAATTTATAGTCTGATACTTTCTGTTAACTACTTTGTTCAAGTGAACTATTATATCAGTATTTATACAAAATAAGTGACTGAGGAAAATGCATGAGCACGTGCATGACTAGCGCACAGCAGGATTTTACAACCAAGCTTGGCTAACCAGGAGTAAGTAAAAGTAAAAAGTAACCAGTGGTTACGCAAAAGGGCATTAACTTCACGTTGCTTATATTGAAGTTTAAGTCGGTGATATATATCGCAACTTTTTCAATGTAACAGTGATAGTAATTACTTAAAAAAACAACCCTGAACAAAGTTCGATATGATTGGTGTCAACGACATTATAGCCTTACATTCATTTGGAAATAGTCGAAAGTATAGCTTTAAGCAGGACGAATGTACTAAATAGTGACCCAAAATAACGACTCTTCTATTGACGTTATACCCATATATGTTAGCGAGGCGTTTACTAGTGTCTCACCTATGGCCTATCCGAGAGGATTACAACTTTGAAATAATGGGAATGAAACAACATTGAATAAGGAAATTCTTTAGCGATCGGGGACAGGAGCCGATCCATCTGGATACTATCTAAAAAGAAATCTGTCAAGACAGTGAATCCCGAAGTCTCCACCACTCCTACAAATCCATGGACAAAAAAACTAGGAGTAATCCCAAGTTATGACGTGAAAGCTGCAAACTACAATGTATTAGCTGCTAGAGGTTTCCGAATGTCGAGCTATCAAATGATTTGACGAAGATATCTTGGGCTTTGTACCACAACTACGTGAGAACTCACCTTGAATAATGTACCCGAATAGCCAGTATGCTTTATCAGGGATGTTTACATACTTGATCGTGTTTAATGCAGAAAATAGGTTGGAGATATACATTTCCAAACACTATCGCGACAAGCAATCATAACACTTAAATCTTTCCTACTTGCCTTAGGATGAGAGATCTTATATTGGAATTTCCACAAAGCTATGCTTTACTGCTCAGTCAGTAGTGAACCTTCCAACCGCCCTAATATCGCAGAGTGCATATCAAAATAGAGGTAACTATTAGGAATTATAGTTACTATTTCTAGCAAAAAGTGATATCAGTTAGATTGTAAGTAACAAAGACTTCACAACCTCACCCTCATTGTGAGCATAGTAAACCATACATTTATCTCCCCAGTCCCACTGTTAAACCGGCCGAGGTTACAAGGTCGTTCAGGGGTACACTACAACTTGACCTGGAATTTCGTAAAGTACACATTGACTCAGGCATTGTATTTCTCAGAAAAACTTATGATGGGCCCTCGTTATAATGGAAAACCCGAACCCAACGAATTTGCAGTTACTTATACACTCTAATCAACCAAAAGGTGCGAAAAAGAACCCGGAAATGCATACATTAAGACATGTATCGCGACATTATAAGGTAGAAATCAATTGTCAGACCACCAAAAAGAAGCAAGTGTATTGAATCATACGCTTGTTCTGATAAAAGATATGAGAAATTACAAACAGACAATTATACCAACAGATATCACATAACGAACAAGTCTGCAAGTTTCTTTGAAATCACCAAATTAACGAACTAGAATGCCATCCTTATGTGTTGGATGATTTCGAAGATAGCTGAAATCAACAATTATTTTTTTAATCACTATTACCTGAACCACAAACAACGAATACAATTAAACCCAAAATACATGTGTTCATATTAGATTGAGAGTCTGAGGATTTCTGATCATGTTATTAAAAAACAAGGTTAAGTACCAGTGATTTAGGGACATTGCCACGGTGAACTATATTACCATGAGCCTTCCCATTCTGCACTTTCATCCGCTGGCTAGCAGACATTCTAACGTAGCGCAAAACCTCGAATGCGTACAATGCCAACTAACAATCAACCTACAACTATTTAATTTCCGAAAACAATTAAACTGCAGCATCTCAGTAAACTATCTTTAAATCTGAGGGAAGGCTTAAAAAGTGTAAAATCAAAGTATTTTGGAGTGTTTATAACTGAAAAAACTGTGATTGAACTTCGTAATCTTCAAAAATCCAATAGGAAGTGTCGGCAATAGAAATTTTTTCCAGGGTCTATCGAAAATACCAAGAATCGAAGAAGAGACGCTTTCAGATGAAGCTTGATGCCAAAATACAGGCAAACCCTCTGTTTAGGTTCATGAGTAAAAGAAAACCTACGAATCAGGGGAAGACCTCATCAATCTAGAGATGGCTGGCATCTTTAACACCAACTTCACCGATCAGTTAAGCCAGGTATCCAGATGTTCGGTGTACTACGCAAATCCAGTTCCTTCTGACGGCTTAGGGAATACCCGTATTACTCCTGACTTAGTACCAAGGAACCTAAAATCCTTACGCCCAGGTAAGTCACCAGGTTGCGACAATACTCATCCAAAAGTCTTGAAACAATGTGCCGAAGCCCTTTATTCACCGATATGTGACATGCTCAAGCAGTCACTGGAGTCACACCAACTCTCAGCTGAATGGAAACAAACTACTCTCTCTCCAATTTCAAAGGACTAAAGGACTCAGCTTGTTACAGACCAGTCGCATTACTACCAATCGTTCCAAAGGTAATGGAAGTGGATAAGAATAAAATACTCCATGAAGCTCAACACGAATTTCGGGAAAGGCAGGTAGTGCACATCTAATCTCCTTGTAGCATGGGAAAGTTGCATATCCTGCTTGGACCGAAAATACCGGTGCACGTAATTTTTCTCGACTTTGGAATAGCCTTCGACATGGTACCCTACGCATGCCTAATCGCAAAGGTTGCAGAAATAGGCTTCACTGACAAACTCCTATCTTGCTCAGAAACTACCTTGATAATAGAAAATTTCGTACCAAGGGAAATAGAGCCTCAACATCCGGAGTTTTGCAACGAACCACTTATCTTCCAGATATTCATCAACTACCTGTTAGACACATTTAGTTCGCTGGCGTTGATCTACGCAGACGATGCAAAGATTTGGAGGTCTGTTAGAAGCGAAGATGATTCGGCTGAGCCTCAAAAAGACCTTACATCCATTGAGTAACGGGCAATGAAAAACGGTTTAAAACTGAGCCAACCGAAGTGTCTCTTCATGTACATGAAGTGAACGATCTGTACCCTCAATGGAGGTCCGCCCCCTCATATCAACACAGCTTGTGATCTCGGATTAATAAGCACTGAAATCCTCCACAGCAGCTGGAACTATATGGAGGACGCAACCAAGGCAAACGCAACTCATCACTTTGTGCGAAAACAACTTAGTGCTATCAACTCACAGTTATTCTCAATGTTATTTAAGACATGCACGATCACAGCTTGAGGTTCACAACACCGTAGAACTCTCTACTTATAAAAGAGACATAAATATCTTGGATTGGGTGTAAAGACAAGCAACAAAATAGGTGAAAACTAGAAGTGACGCAGTAGACTCCAGCATTTGGGCCCATTCCTCCTGAGTTACAGGAGAACCAGAGGTGATCTGACTTTGATCAAAGGGCTAACACTCAGGTTCGTGCACACATTGTCTCAATAGGAATCGTTGCAACTTGGAATGCTCTCCGAGCCGAGGTAACCCTATCGGTGGTCATCTATAGGAAGACACTCGATCAATACGTATTCACATACGGATTATCATCTCCCCCGTGGACCAGCTGTCTGGTGCATATTTTCAGACCTGCTATATGTTATTATTGTACTCTCCTCAGATTGCTTATTTGATCTATCTCGCCTAATATATATGTTTACTTTTCCTTACCTACATTTCAGTCCTCTTGTACAATCCTCACTACCAATTAATAAACTAAATTATCCATTAATTTACTCATTCTTGAAATCTCATTAGCACTGAAATTTTCTCATTATGCTCCATATTGCAACTAACTGATCTCCGGTCTGGTAATGTGATAACTGCCGCTATCGAGAAACCCTACTGCTCTGAAACAAACATTTTCATTCAAATCACGGGACATACAAACTCACAAACAGCTTCCAACTGACTAGAATTAGACAGTCAAATGGCTAGATCTCCATTTATTGGACACTAACAAACACCTGAGACTGTAGTGAAAGAACAAGAATTGAGTGCAAGAAAGTCATTTGGTTAATACTAGCTCGTGAGAAAGATAATGGATATTGGAAATTAGAGATCGACCGACTTCACAGTGGTTCTTTAGTATTTGCACTCTACTGGCTTTTAAAATGTTAGCTGTCAGATTCATAAGACTTTTGATTCCTTAGAAAACTTTATTGAAATCCTTAATTCAGTGCTATACACACGTTTGTACAAATCATATACCTATTTAACACTTATTGGGCAAAGTCCATTTAGTAGGAAGAATAGATTGTTGTCTAGTCGTTGTAGTATTTTTGTAGCCGATATAATTACTCCTAAATGCCCTCTGAATGGGCTCTGAGCCAGTTATTTATTATGATAAATTGCAGTTTTTCCGATGAATATCTACGTTTTTGTTACTATTGCACTTTAGTTGTATTGTAGGTCCACTCAATACTATCAGAATTAGTTTGTCGTGTATGTGACCTTGAATAAAAAGGAAATTAAGGATCATAAACATTAACAACTAGATTTGCGTCACTCTGGTACTCCTAGGTTTCTGAAAATCTACACAGTGCAACATGAACGTTATGCAGTGAGTTCTTTAGTGGTTCATGCATTTGGAGCAAATTGTCCTTTGATTAGTTGCAACATGAATCAGGTCGTTTGAGGTTTCACAGTTCTACTTGATGCGAGTGGATAAGGTTTGGAACATTGTATACACCCACAAAAGTCGTCGAAGTCAATTATGCGATAGAATACAGTGAAGCCTACAGTCTAACTGCAGTATTACGGCAATTTCTTAGGGAGACTATTTCCAAATTCAATTATTTCAAGAAAGAATTTAAGGAATCGGGATTT